CTGAAAGCATGCAATTGTTAGGCTTCCAGACAATTGAGAGGGTGATAGTATAATACTTAGTGTTAATAAGGTCAGCTTGTGCGTTCAAATGGGTATGCAGTTTTCTCCCTCAGCTATTGTACATGCTTTCTGGAGCTTATGCAATTCAAATGACACATTTTTCTGTTATTGTATATGAAGTTTATTATGAGAACTTTTATTTTAACATTCGGTATTCTATTTGAAATTTATGTGATCAGCAAGGTAAAATGAAGTTTAATAGAACTGAAAGCATGCAATTGTTAGGCTTCCAGACAATTGAGAGGGTGATAGTATAATACTTAGTGTTAATAAGGATATTTTAAGTCGATGCTTCATTAGGCATAAGTAGGTTGAGTAGGTTGTACTGGGTTAAATTAAATATTTGTTTTTTGCAGTGATTATGTATCTTCGATTCAGGGATTGCGTATCTGCCAAATGCATTTAGTTCTTTTCAGTTTTCACTTTGCGAACGTTGATTTCTTTCTAACCTGTAAAACAACCAACCAACAGGATGGGGTATTTCTTCTTCCGGCTTGCTGTGATCCTTTCAATGAAAAGGCTCTTCGTGCAGCTCGTGGAGCCTCTTTGCAGCTTCCAATTGTCTCTGGCAACTGGTGTGATCTGCATGCTTTGGTAACTAGATATGGCATGAAGATGTTGGCAGGCCATCCAGAAAGTAGCAGTGATGGATCTGAAAGAACCCATGTGCTGTCCAAAGAGCTTGCAGACTCACTGATGAGTGAGTCACTATGCTTAGTGTTAGGAAGTGAGGGCAATGGCCTCTCTGAAGAGACCGTCCAAGCTTGTGATCTTGTAAGCATTCCTATGGAAGGTATTTTTGAATCTCTGAATGTTTCTGTTGCTGGGGGTATCTTTTTATTTATGTTACAACCCAAACAGCAAACATATAGCAGAAGTTTAACTCCGTAAGTTACCTGCCTGTCCAGTTCATTTTTTTTTTGTGGGTGTTTGTTTCTGACATCTAATTTAAAGTGAAGAAACATACCATTCAGTGTGACACAAGATGTTAGTTAGAAATTAAAGAAAATGCATGATATGACATTATTTCGCTAGAACAGGTTGTTTGATGTATTTTTAATGAACAAGAAACATACCCTATTGCAATATCGATGGTTGTCTCGTGGATCTTTCTACTGTCATGCATTTCTGTAGTTTTACTGATCCTCCAATGAGTCTTGATTGCAAGGCTTGATCAATGGTCTACCACAAGGATGAGCCCATATGAAACTGCAAATACTGACAAAATGGTTCGAACTATTTCACTTCTATTTGCATGCGGCCCAAACATGATTCTGTACAATTCTGGCAGTGCATATTCTGGAGGTCACTAACTCACTATAGCTGTCATGTGGCATGACACCAGACAACAGCCAGCAGGCTATCCCTTTAAAATTGATTTATTAGGATCACTTCTATGAGATATGAGGAGGATTAGGAAGATATGATTTAGTCGAGAACTTGAGATAGGTTGATTATGAGTTAAGAATGCCATCTCTCAAAAAATGGAGATGTCATTCATCACGTATGTGGATACTGTTTATCTCTCCCTCTCATCTCCAAAGCCACAGTCGGCCTACCCTTGCTCCTTGGAGTCGTATCCACAATTGGCGGGCGACACATGATGCTTGGACTCATGAAAATGCCAGTGTATTTAAATAACTATGGCATAATAAATAAATCTTAACCATAAACTATTGCGGTATCTTTGACCCAAGAAACCCCAGCTTTGAGTATA